GTGCTGCTGAGCTATATCCCCGGCCCAGGGTCTCACTTTGTAGTCCAGGCTGGCCGCGAACTCTCAGTGATCCTCCTGCCTTAGCCTCCTGAGTGCTGGGATTACAGATGTGCGCCACCATGCCTGGCTCCAGCTAAGCACTTTAAACATATCATTTAATTCTCACAAGAATCCTGCAGGCATAGTGTTTTTTTGTTTTGTTTTGTTTTTTTTTTTTTGTTTGTTTGTTTTTCTCCGGTACCGGGAACCGAACTCACGACCTTGTGCTTGCCAGGCAGGCGCTTTTGCCGCTGAGGTAAATCCCCAGCCCCCAGGCATAGTGTTATTACCTCGTTTTGCAGATGGGGAGACCAAGGCCCAACAAAGCAAACTTTGTCACGGCTGGTGTCAGTTGAGATCAAAACACCTCTTCATGGTTCATGGCTCTATTACATTGCCCTGCCTCCAACACTCATCCTGTCAGCTGGCTATTCTTGTGGAGGTGTGAGGGACTCAGAACTTTATTTTTAAATTTTTTATTGGTACATGTTTTCAGCACATAATGATACACTCTTCATAGTGAGTTGGTACATGTTCATAACACATCTTGATTCTACTTACTTTCCCTTTCCTCTCCTCCCCTCCTCCCTCCATCTCTTGGTCCCTTTCCTATTTGCAGGAGATCTCTCCTTGTTTCCTATGATCTATCTTTTATTTTGCCCTTTAAATTATTCATAGTTTAATTATTTCTACTTTGGGTTTCTTTTATATGGGAGGCCAAATGTGGTGGTGGAGGCCTGTAATCCCAGCACTCAGGAGGTCGAGGCAGGAGGATCACTGTAAGTTTGAGGCCAGGCTGGGCTACAAAATGAGTTCAAGACCAACTTTAACTACTTAGTGAGGCCCTGCCCCCCACAAAAAATTGCTCCATACTGTGCTTAGTGTTAGTAGGTTCACATTATAATGGAGCTTCACTGTTTTTTTTTGTTGTTGTTGTTACCACCAGCCTAGACTCCAAAGTGAGTTCAAGGCCAGCCTGGGGGGCAGGGACATAGGATATCTACGCTTGGGTGTCTCATTTATTTCACTTGCCGTTATGAACTCAACATGGATCCATTTTCTTACAAATGACTCAAGTTTATCCTTTTTTACGGCAGAGTACTACTCTGTATAATTACATTTTTTTTATTCACTCATCTGTCAATGGACATCTAGGTCACTTCCAAGATTTACCTATTATGAATTGTGCTGGTATAAATACGTGTTTTTTTTTTTTTGTCTTTTTGAGACAGGGTCTCGCTATACAGTTCAGGCTGGCCTTGAGCTCACTTCATAGCCCAGGCTGGTCTCAAACTCACAATGATCCTCCTGCCTCAGCCTCCTGAGTGCTGGGATTACAGGCGTGCACCACCACACCCGGTTTAAATATGTATGTATGTGTCTCTCTGTCTTTAATTCTTTTGGGAAGATATTTAGAAGGGAAGTAGCTGGGTTGAATAGAATTTCTAGTTACAGTTTTTGAGGAATCTACACTCTGATTTCCATAATGGTTGTACTGGTTTATATTGCCACCAACAATGAAAAAGGGTTTTTACCCTGAAGCTGTGCCAGCATTTGTTAGTATTTGATTTCTTGATCATAACCATTCTTTCCAGAGTAAGATGGACCTTCGTGTTGTTTTAATTTGCATTTCTCTAATGGCTTAGAGATGTTGAACATTTTTCCGTATATTTATTGGCCATTTGTACTTCTGAGAGAAGTGTCTATTCATTTCAGTTGCCACTTTTTTGTTTGGGTCTTTTATTTGGGAGGTGTCTAATTTTTAAAAATTCTTTATGCATTCTCTGAGGAATAGCTGTCAAAAAATTTTTTTTTTCTTATTCTGTAGGTTGGCTCTTCACTTTGCTGTGCAGAAAGTTTTTGTTTGGCATGATCTGTTTTGTTGACTCTTGGTGCTAATTCTTGTGCAACTGAGGTTTTATTCAAAAACTCCTTGCCTATGCCTGTGTCCTGAAGAGTTTTACCTATTTTACCTTTCAGGAGATTGTTTTAATATTTAGATCTTTGAGCCATTTTGATTTTGGTGAGAGATATGGGCCCCAATTGAATCTTTAGCATATACGTAGCTAGTTTTCCCAAGGGGACTCAGAACTTTAAAACTACTGCCATTAAACCAGGCATGGGGCCCGTGCCTGTACTCTAGCACTCTGAGAAGCTGAGGCAGGAAGATCCCAAGTTTGAGTCCAACCTGGGCAATTTAGCAAAATCTTCTCTCAAAAATAAAAAGTAAAATAAGGGCTGGAGATGTAGCTCAGTGTAAAGGCCTGGGTTCAGTCTCCAATACCAAAAGCAATAAAACAAACTTTGTGCTGTCATTAAGTGATTCCTGTCTATGCAGCTTACAAATATGACTCTTCAACAAGTTGCCTTATATGACAAGACGTGCATGCTATTATTATCCTCGTTTTATGGTGAGGAAGATGATGCTTATTAAGGCCAAGAAATCTGCACAAAGTCACACACCCAGTAAGTCAGTGGCAGAGCCAGACATAGCTTTAACATCTCTTGTGCTCTTAGTACAGTATATTGTAAAATTCACCGAGCTCCCAACTTTAAATTTACCGCAGAAAAAACTGGAAACAAGTGGATGTGGTACTGCAGGCCTGTAATCCTAGCACTCAGGAGGCTGAGGCAGGAGGATCTCTCAAAATTCGAGGCCAGCCTGGGCTACGTAGCAAGCCCTTGACTCAAAGATATAAAAACAACAACAACAACAACAAAACCAAAAATCTTAACACAAAGCAAAGCAAAACAAAACAAAACCGGAAGCTAGGCCAGACCGTAGGTGACTGCACATGCGCACACGCCAAGCCCAGCTCAACCGGAGGGCAGTGCCAACCACGTGTTCCCAGGTGCCCACGCGCGGATGGGCGCAAAGACAGGCCTTTGGACGCGTGGAGCCGCTCCAGCGAGTAAGAGCCGGCTCTCATAACGTCACGGGGCCAGACCTAGAAAACTACATCTCCCAGACGCAGCTCACGAGCGCCCCCAGGTCCGGGGGGAATGTACTTCTGGGAATGTAGGCTTCTGATAGGCTGTGCGACGGAAGTGGGCGGTTCCAAGCGGCGGTGGCAGGGTCTGTTTCCGGTAGCGTCGGTGACTCCATAGGAAGGCTTTGAGGAACCGGCCCCAGGCATTGAGGAACCACCGTTCTTCCCTGAGCTTTATTAGGACTCGGCGGGCAGGTATGGCGGCGGCTTTTCGCAAGGCGGCGAAGTCCCGGCAGCGAGAACACCGAGAGCGCAGCCAGGTGAGACCGCGCAGTCCCCAGGAAGCTTGCCCGTGGCCCCATGTGCTCCCGCCCAGCCTCCTCGAGGCGGGGGTCTTGGTCCCAGCTGCGTGCGGACTCCGTGTGCTGAAAAGCGCCGATACTGCTGATGTCACCGGTGTGGCCGAGGCTGGGTCTCGAGTGGCTGTGGGCAGCGATTTGTCCTTCTCTGTCCAGAGAGAGCGCCGGCGGTTCCCCAGTCTTGGGGGTTAGTCGGACCCGCCTTGGGAGAGTTCGGTAAGGAAACTGAGGTCAGCGCTCAACGCGCCTGGCTGAAGTTGGAGTCTGCATCCGCTGCTCAGCTCTGCCTGCTGCCTGCAGGTCCAAGGCCGAAGAGATTGGAGTTACTGATGTGCCATCATTGTGTGTGGGCTTCGTGGTTCACGGACATCTGTCACCTGTGTTTCGGTTTTTGCCTTAACCTGCAGTGTTGGTGTTTTCCACCCCTGGTGTAGGCTGGGAAACATGTCCAGAGCGTTGCCTGACCGTTTTACGAACGTGATTGTGGAGGAGGATGTGTCTGTGTGGAGAGGTGGAGTGGATACAAGCTTACATGCGGAATCAATTCATCCGTGTGACTGTTCTCAGTCACCACGGGTCTGATTCAGGAAAGCCTGTAGAGATAACTGGTCCAGTTTCATTTTCCAGATGGGGAAGGCACGTGTGACTGGTGCCACAGAGCTAAGGCCTCTTAAGCACAGTTCGGTATCCTTGCCTGATAGCATTTACTGTGCATTTTCAATCTTCTCAGTAGTGTACTAGGAGCAGTGGTACAGTTGGTCCCCTTGTTTGGGAGCGTGTGTATGTGTGACACCTCTAATGAGGAAATGAACCTGTGATGAGGAGTCCAGGAAATGAAAGTTCAGGTAGGTTTTGTCTTTGCCCATATAACTGTACTGGCAAGTGGCAAAGACAAAAGTCACATCAGGTGCTTTGAATACAGCAGATACTAAAAGATAAATAAAGGGGCAACTGTATAAGAAACGGCACATAAAAAGTGCCAGGGCCCAATATGAATGGGAAGGACAGAGATGATGAGAGAGCATCATGGTGAAACTTGTTCACCTAGAGAGCAATTTGCCTTTAAAGACGGAGCACTACAATAGGCTAGGCACAGCCCCGCGTGCTTTATAGGGATTGGCTCATAATCCTACAGTGTCCTTATGAGGTCGTTTATCCTTATTTTACAAATAAGGGATCTAGTGTGCAAGGAGATTGAATGGTGCATCCAAAGACAATTATGGTTACAGATAGTTGATTTGGATTATCAGAGAAGGGAAAAGGTGTTCAAGGATGGCCATAGCTGTGCCTAAGTAGAAATAGGTCTAGTGAGGCAAGAAGGGTGAACACTTTGACTCCATATTCCCTATTTGGATACTTTGGATGTCATCCTGTGGGTCCTTCAGTGAGGTATTGGGGAAGATGCTGGGAATATTTTGTATGGAGGGGGTGAACTGTTGTGTAAACTATTTTAGATGCACTATCAATTTTCCTTCTGAAATGTAAATGTACCAATACTAATTTCATGGTTTCTGTCTCTTTTTTGGGGAGGCGGGGCTTTTTAAGACAAGGTCTCGCTATGCAGTTCAGGCTGGTTTGAGCTCGCTTTGTAGCCCAGCCTGGTCTGGAACTCGCAATGGTCTTTTGCCTCACTCAGCACCCCCAGTGCTGGGATTACAGGTGTGCAGACCCTTGAGTTTTCTTGCACCACTCTGTCAACCTCCCTGCATCTCTTGTTTTTAAAATAAAAATTACCAGGACCGGGGTTATAGCTCAGCAGCATAAGTACCTGCCTGGCAAGTGCAAGGTCCTGAGTTTGATTCCCAGTACCAAAAAAAAAAAAAAAAAAAAAAAAAATTACCAGGGAGGAGGAAAAAATAAATAAAAATTACCAGGAGATGTTTTGGATGTTATTTTAAATACTGGGTTATTTATTGTATCATTTGAAGGATAAAAGATGACAAAGGTGACTGTTAAAAATTCCACCAAAATTACGTGTAAGTTTATTAGAAGTATATGTACTTCCTCTGAGGTAAAAATTGTTCCAAGCAGAAGAAGATACATTCTACATTCTAGTGTTGTGTGGAAGAGCACACACTGTGGCCCCAGACAGAATGGGTTCTAGTTTTAGCTTTGCCACTGACTGGCTCTGTATTCTTTGGTATATCATTCTCTAACCTTCATCCCCCTTCTGGAAAATTGGTGTAACAGTAGTTACTCTTTGTGATTCTTGTGAGAATTAAGTGAGATTGTGTAATGAGGATAACATAATTGCTTTGCAGGTGCCTAATAAGTGTGGCCTATGAAGTTGCTGTAAACAAAAGCATCTAGTTCAGGCTCTGAGATAGATTAAGTGTTCAATACATAGTAGCGTGTAGCAAGATGATACCAAGATTTTTTTTTTTTTTTTTTTTTTGGTTTTTCTCTGGTACCGGGAACCGAACTCACGACCTTGCACTTGCCAGGCAGGCGCTTTTGCCGCTGAGCTAAATCCCCAGCCCCGATACCAAGATTTTAATCTTTGTGTCCTCCAGATTATCTATATTTGTGTGAGAGAAACTGCTGTTGTGCTTGCTTTTCTCTCATACCTTGTACCAAAGATACAGTAGCCCGGGCCCTGCTATGTGACGAGCCATGTGCAGATACTACCACTTAGGGAAGCTCATTGAATCCTTACAATAACTTTGCAAAGTATTATCGTTATTAATTAACATTTGGGAAACAGCTCAGAGAAGTGAAGTGACTTGTCCAAGGTCACAGATTAAAAGATAAATCTTAGATTTGATCCCAGGTCTCCATATTCTAAATTTAGCTCCCTTACCACAGTTGGCTTCCTGTTACTGTTTTCCCTTTGTAGTATTTTGTAAACCCTTGGATTAAGTTGGTAGTAATTTTAGTACTACTGGCAACTGCTTGCTTAGTGCAGAGTCATGGTTGCCTCTCCCTGTCCTTAATAGGCCAAGGAACATACTATGGCAGTGCTTGTGACCTTCCTGGCGCCTGCATGGTCCCTCTCATCTTCAGGCAGAGCCCAGTATGGGGAGGGGAGAGGAACAGGGTAGTGGGTTGGCTCCAAGGACATGGATTTACTGAGTACTCCAGGGACTCCTGTCCCCATCAGGTGTCATGTTGATTTGAGCATGTGTTTACTAAGGAAATTAAGTGCTGTTTTTTTCTTTTGTCTTCTAGCCTGGCTTTCGAAAACATCTGGGCCTGTTGGAGAAAAAGAAAGATTACAAACTTCGTGCAGAGTGAGTGCTGTCTTTCTGGTAGAGGTGCTGCTAAGAAAGCTTACAACATTCCCATACTGTGGCTAAAGTGTCCAAATGTCCAACGGGGAATAATTTCCTGCCATTGATAAAATGGCCAAAGCTCTGGCAGTCTGTTGGATATTTTTCTATGAACCTAAAGTTCTCCCTCTGTTCAGGTAGAATATTTATTTAACTAGTTGCATTGTAAAACTTTTTTATTAAGTAGCTCCAGATAATTTTCTTATAGTGGTTTTGATTTGCCTCTCCCTTGGTGTTTGAACCAAAAGCTGAATTTTCCCCCCTTATCTTGAAGTGTAAGATAATAATCTAAAACTCCCTTCGTTGAGCCTCTTATATCACCATGTTGTGGTATGGAATGAAAAGATATGAAAGGTGGATTCATGAGACTGAGTGTGGGTGATAATGAACCATGAAAATGTTTCATAAAACAGTTATGCCCATTCTTCTTTTTTCTTTAGCATTTCATTTGAAAAATACTTAATTGCTTGTTAGTGATACATATCTGCTGATACCTTTCTTATGCTCTTGGTGTGGATGGTGTTGATGGATTAATGGCTTTCTGTAGGTCCCAGGGATTTTTTTTTTGTCTTTTTGAGGCAGGGTCACCAGGCGTGGTGGCGCATGCCTGTAATCCCAGCACTCGGGACGCTGAGGCAGGAAGATCATTGCAAGTTGGAGACCAGCCTGGGCTGCAAAGTGCACTCAAGGCCCGCTGAACTGCATAGCGAGACCCTGTCTCAAAAAGACAAAAAAAAAAAAAAAAAAAAAAAAAAAGAGTCAGGGTCTCACTGTGAAATTCAGGCTGGCCTAGAACTCACTTTGTAGCCCAGGTTGGCCTTGAACTCAGAACAATCCTCCTGCTTCAGCCTCCTGAGTGCTGGGATTACAGGCCTGCACCACCACGCCAGGCTACAAAACCAGAAATTTTTAAGGCTAATAGTAATGCTTAAGTACTATTACTGTACCATGCAGCGTTCTAGATTTACAGTTTTCACACTCTTCTCAAAGCCTTTTGGGGGTAGGTTAGTAGGACCATACTCATTTTACAGGTGAAATTGGGATATAGAATGGTTAACTTATACAGGGTTACTTAACTAGAAGTGATGGAATGTAGATTTGAACCCGATGGCTCCAAAGTGCACCATTCTAGTCATTGTGGTACATAGTACTGTGTAGTTTCTGACTCATACTGGTTATTTGGTTCTGAAACTTGCGCCAGAACCCTATCTGAGGAGTTTTGTGCTTTTGTTTATTTTTATTTATTCATTTTACTTATTTATTTTGATGTCTCCTTGTAATGATATAAGTGACACTAAGACAAATGTGGGATGGGGACAGTTAATTTCAAGTATAGTTGGGATAGGAGTGGACTATAGATTGTGGGCCCCATAGAGATCTGAGCCCACTTTAGTGAAAGTGGAATGTGTGTCAGCTCCAGTCATTGCTTTGGTGTTTTTGAATTTCGTTTTATGTGAACTTTTAGATGCTTGTGAAATTTGCTCAAGAGTGTGTGTGTGTGTGTGTGTGTGTATCAATGAATCTTATTTCATCTGCTTTTTTAGTGACTATCATAAAAAACAAGAGTTCCTCAAAGCTCTTCGAAAGAAGGCTCTTGAAAAAAATCCAGATGAATTCTACTATAAAATGACGCGGGTTAAGCTCCAGGTGGGTTTCTAATGGATCAGTTGGTGTTTCAAGCCTCAAATGTTGGAAATTAAAGTTGGGGAAGGAGGTGGAGAGGAAGGATTCTTGGCTTTAATTTAGGTCTTTTCCAGTTGGTTCAAGTACTCTTGGTTAGAGTCCAATGCAGATCTGCCTCTTCTCGGGCAGCATACATTTCTCCTTCTATATCTTGAGTTGTCTAATGTCTGAAGCTGTTGTAAGTATTCGGCTAGAGATGCTACATTGAATTTAGTACCAACAACCTTGGAATGCTGTCAACATGCAACATTTGGTCTTTGTTCTAACTACAAGCTATACCAACAGCTTATTAATGATTTTATTTTAATAGGGAATGTGTTTTTTAAATTTGGATTTTAGGATGGAGTTCATGTTATTAAGGACACTAAGGAAGAAGTAACCCCAGAACAGCTAAAGCTAATGAGAACTCAGGATGTCAAATACATAGAAATGAAAAGGGTTGCAGAAGCTAAGGTAAAAATTCACTCTTTGTTCTGTTATATTTTTATTGGTTAAGAAAGGAAACAAACCTGTCAGTCTTCAGTTACCAGTTTGATTCTTCTGGCATTTACGATCTTAAAGTACAGTTGATTGTGGTAATGATTTAAACTTATAGTCAGGATAGTGGAGTTAAAGAGTTCAAGTTGGAGAATGACACACAGGTTAAATTCTGGCTCCGTCATTTACTTGCCTCGTGACTACGAGTAAATTAATCTTTTTGAGACTTTTCCCTCATTTCCATCTCAGGATTGTTCTAAGGATTGAATGAGTTTTGTGGAATGCTCACCTAATACTAGGACATGTAGTTGATACTTGATAAATTTTAGTGGTCCTTTCCTTTAAAAGAATGAAATTCTTTGCTGGCTGGCAAGAATGATTTGAAATGGTCTAAACTTTTACAAATTTATTTCTGAGACTCCTGAAGAACCCAATTTTAAGTGAGGTTATTTTGCATTCTAGAAAATTGAAAGACTAAAATCAGAGCTCCATCTGCTGGATTTCCAGGGAAAGCAACAGAATAAGCATGTGTTCTTTTTTGACACCAAAAAAGAAGGTATGAAATGTTTGACGGAAAGTCTAGTATGTCACTCTGTGCTGTTCAGCATTAGAGACAGACTGTGACTTAAGGCTTATCTTGAATTTTAGTTGAACAGTTTGATATTGCCACTCACCTGCAGACTGCCCCGGAACTAGTTGGCAGAGTCTTTAACAGACCCAAGATAGAGACCTTGCAGAAGGAAAAAGTGAAAGGAGTTACCCATCAGACTCGACTTAAGGTAATTTTCTACATTGTTACAGAGGTGGCAGTTTGGGATTTGGGAGTTTTTGGTTTTTTCCTACTATATTTTATATACTTCTCTGTGGAAAACTCCTTGAGTTTCCTTAGAAAAATGTAAAGAAGATTTGATGATTGGGATGGAGAATAGAGAGGAACAGAAAGGCTACCAGGCAGCGATCCTTTATTGGTCAGTAGTTTAGGCTCTGGCTGTTAGCTCTGGGTTTGAATCCTAGCTCTCACCCTGTTCTTTGTGGCTTTAACACTTGAAACAGATGCCAACATTTGAAAAAAGCCAAGCAAGGAGGGGACACTGAAGATTTAGGGTTGTGGTATACAGGATTTTGATGTTAAACCTTTAGCAGTGAATACCCATGTTAAAAAGTCTTTCATAGTATGCATTTATAACCAGAATTTCATATTGACTTTTCCTTATGGTGCTTTCCATCAGTATAACTGGGCTGTGGAGAAGACGTGCTTTTCCTTAGAGCCTTCTGGAGTTGAACTCTCACTTCTGACTGATTCATTTTTAAAAAAATGCTGTCAGTGTGTTTCGAGTAGACAGCTGTTCTGTTTTGATTTGAATCATTTACACCGCATCAGTTTTGCTTCCAATGTTTAATTTCACAGCAGTTTTCTCTAGCTCAGAGGCAGCTAAACTTGCTTTAGTAATATAAATACTCCTAATTAGTTTGACTATATTGGGTAATCCCATAAATTTGACAGTCTGTGCAATAAAGTGAAAACAAAAGCTGTCTGAAACCACTGCTGTGAGACTATGCTAGAATCAGTGAATTGTTGAAATCTGAGGCCCAATAATATTTCTCTTTATGTAGCTAACACTTCCAGCTGAGGAGCTGGCTGACTGGTGTTCTTGTGATAACCCTGATTGTCAATTAGTTGTATTTTCAATTAGCTGTGTCACTGATACTTCCCAAGGATTTTGAGGTAGTCCCTAAGGAGATTAGTATTCCAGACTCCTATGCAGAATAGTTCACCATTTTAACTCTTGAGAAGTTAAGAAGATTTGGATCTTGCTGTTTTTGTCTAGTAGTATTTCATTCAGTTGTTTTGTTTAAAGCAAAATTATTTTTATTAAGAGACTCCTGGTGGGTGAATTGCAGTGTATAACTTTGAGGGGGTGAGCAATCTACAATGGGCTTTATGAGGTCTGTGAAGACCCTTTCCCCAGATTTTGTACAAATAGGTATATACAGGTTGAGCATTGTGAATCCAAAATTCCAAAATCCAGAATGCTCCAAACTCTGAAACATTTTGAGGGCTGATACGATGCCACAAGTGGAAAATTCCTCACCTGACCTCACCTGATGGTCAGTTAAAATGTAGGCACATTAAAAATATTATTACGGGGGATTTAGCTCAGCGGCATGGCGCCTGCCCGGCAAGTACGAGGTCGTAAGTTTGATTCCTGGTACCAAAAAAATATTTTTAAAAATTATCTTAAAAAAAAAAAAAAAAAAAAATTATCTTCAGACTGTATGTATAAGGGATATTGAAACATAAACGAATTTCATGTTTAGATTTGGGTCTCATCCCCAACGTATGTCATTATTTACATGCAGATATCCTAAAACCTTCCAAAATTCTAAATCCAAAACACTTCTGGTCACAAGCATTTGGGATGTGGGCTACTCAGCTTGTATGTTACCTCAAAAAAGAATTTAGAGCTTTCTTCCGTTTCTGAGAAGTTACGATTTTCCCAAACTTAGGGGCCCCATTAGATTTTAAGGGGTGATTAGTAGTGTAGATTCTCAGGTCAGCCCTCAGGTCAAAAATCCTTCTGCTCTTTGAATTCTGATTCTCAGGCACCAGCACACTGCCTGCTCTCTATTCACTGGTGTGTTCTTGCCATCAGCTCAGGTGACTGAGGCACTGACACAAAAAGTTGAAGCAACTTAGAGTAGTAGTGGAAACATTCCTGGAATCCAAGAGACTCAGGATAGTCCTGACTCTGCTCCAAGTGAACCTTGTGCCCTTGGGTCAGTTATTTTTTTGCAGGCCTCCCTCATTCTGCATTTGTAAAGGTTTTGATAAGATTGTTTCCAAGGTTTCTTTCAGCTCTAGAATGTGATGTTCTTAAAATTGACAACTTCATAGTAATTACATTATGTTGATTCTGGGGTAAGGAGGGAATTAATGAAACCATTTATGCATTTGGGCTTGAGAATCAGTTTCTTACTCCTTTGTTTGCTTTGTTAATTGTTTTACTGAAAAGATGCATTTCTTCTATAGCGGATAGCGAAAGAAAGACAAAAGCAATATAACTGCCTGACACAGCGAATTGAACGAGAGAAGAAATTGTTCGTTATTGCACAGAAAATTCAAACACGCAAAGATCTTATGGTGAGGAAAGAGAGCCTTAGGCTTTCTCTTGTTTTTTTCTTGTAAAGGTCTTAACTGAGACTGGATTTCAGCTGTGTTAAATCAACCCAGTGAAAATGTCTGCTCCTCAGGGGCAGCGGTTTGAGCCAGTGTCTATTGCTCTGACAGTGTTGAAATGTTCCTTGATTAAGAAGGTAATAAGGGGGTTATTAGTCAGTGCCTTGGAACAGCAAAGGGTAGGATCGGGTAGCATATGAACTTTATAGCTTATGAGCAGCTCCTGTAACATTTAAACAGGTTAACAAAACAGTGCATGTCACTCATTGGTGTTTAAAAATAGACAACATTGTGTAGTTAAATAGCAGAGCTAAGGAATATAAGATGCCTCTTTCATATTATTATCATTCCTCTAAATGTCAAATTCTTTAGCCTTGCAGATCACTTAGGTCAGCCTTTCTCAACTGGGGTTCCGTGACAGAATTAAAATTATAATTTTAAATCAAACAATTATTTGAACACCTCTCTTTTTAATTTTCTTGAGGACTGCACATAGCTGATAGCATTCTGGATGCCCAGAGGGGAAGTTAAGGCATTGCATACAGTGGACACCTAGGGCAGCAGGGCTCTGGCTCTTCTGAACTTTGAGAAGGGCTGTGTCAGTGGCTTTCTCCTTGATAGTTTATTAACCTTCCTACTTTACAAAACCTGTTTACTGCTTGTTTTTTTTTTTTAATAGGATAAAACTCAGAAGGTGAAGGTGAAGAAAGAAACAGTGAACGCCCCAGCCATTTACAAGTTTCAGAGTCGTCGGAAACGCTGAAGTATATTATAGATAAACCTTACTGTTTACATAAAAAATAATTCCATTTTTGGCAGTAACTTCAAATTTCATTAATTCAACTGACATGGCTTTCCTGTTTATAACTATGATTTATTGTTGATCTAATACTTGATGTCTTCCTATGAGCAATATTAAAGCCCCTTCCACCATGTCATTGTTTTGGGTTTGTGAAATCAGTCTTATTTTTTTATACAGTGCATACATTTTTTTTACTATGGAAGTTATATGATACCATTACAAAAAAGTAGAAAATAGATGAATTCATTTCTAATTTTAATAATTATTTAAGAACAACAAATAATTATTGGATACTGGGAGCTAAAACTACTGAAGTGAACAATTGCTGTGAGTATTCTGGTTTCTTCATTTTATGAAGTGCATTAGTTTTTACTTATATTTTTGTGTTTTGTAGCTGTAATTTTAATAAACAATTTTACATCCCAATGTTTATTTAAATCATTTCTGTTACATCACTGAATTTTTCAAAAATAATATAGTAAAAATTAAAATACTCATTTTTATGCTTACCTAGTGTTCTGTCTGGTGGATAAACTGACTGACTCTTTCTTTCTTTCTTTCTTTCTTTCTTTCTTTCTTTCTTTCTTTCTTTCCTTTCTTAACAAGGTCTTGCTATGCAGTTCAGGCTGGCCTTGAACTTACTGTGTAACCCAGGTTAGCCTTGAAATCATGAGAACTCATGTGGTGATCCTCCTGCTTCAGCCTCCTGTGTACTGGGATTACAGGAGTGTGCCACCATGCCCAGCTCCTCATTTATTCTTTTATTGGTTATTCAGGTGGCTTAATAAATCATCCAAGGATACAGTTGTTTCTTACGCCTTACATCTACAGGTAGAAACCTTTGGAACTAAAAACTCTCAGGGGCACCAATTCTTTGTGGATGAAGCTCAAATCAGAATATACTAGAACTGGCTCTTGTTTCTGCCCCCCGGCCACTCATGATTCCAAGGCCATAGGTGGCTTCACCCTGAGAATACAGACCCAGGCCCTGTGGGCCAACTGCCTTTTCTTCCCAGGGTCGCACCCTTCCCTTCCTTGCCCATATAAGGATATAGGCCAAGGCCAGTTGGGGCAGGACTGCACATGCTTAAAGTGAATGTTGGAGAAGAAAACACGGGAACAAGGCTGTAGGAGGCTTGCTCAACCTCATACCCTCAGTAGGACAGCTCTGCTTAGATTTAAAGGATTTTTTTATTTTTATTTTTATTTTATTTTATTTTATTTTTTTGGTCTTTTGAGACAGTCTTGCTATGCAGTTCAGGTTGGCCTTGAGCTCACTTTTTAGCCCAGGCTAGTGTCGAACTCTCAGTGATCCTCCTGCCTCAGCCTCCCAAGAGCTGGGATTACAGACATGCGCCACCATGCCCGGCCTTAAAGGATTTTTTAAAAAAAATTATTGTTGATACTTAATAAGTACCCATGACTGTTAGGTTCCTATATATAACCTAAAGTGAAAGAAAGTCTTTTTCCTCGTAGTGTACCCAGTGGATTCAGATCTGGGAGTCCTAGAAAATAAGAAGGGCCAGAGGAGCAGAAGATAGCAGCTTTTGCCTTCAGGAAGGAAGTGCTCCCAGCCTGAACTTCCTTTGGGGGACGTGCTGATCTCAGCTAATGCTGGTAGTCCAGCATTAGCTGGACTAGGAAGGAACTAGTCCCAAGGACTAGGAAGGAAACTTGAGTCCCAAGCCAGGGAAGGGTTCTGTCACAGGGATGTTAGAGCTTGGAAGGCACTTACTAGAGGGAGAGGTGAGGTTGGGAGAATTTGCAGGTACTGCATGAAATAAACCTTGTACAGTTATACACTGAGGAGCGAGCAGACCAGTGGTCTGTTCTAGGTTCAATAAGCTTGCTGGGTCCAGCTGCCCTGACTCTTGGCCCTGCTTGGTAGGAAGTGGGGAGAGGCTAGGGAGTGTACGGGGAGGCCTTCTCATAAAGTACACCCACACAATAGACTCACGTTCACAGATGCTCAGGGCACATACAACTCAGGTCTCATAAACAAGTATGGGCACACTCACGTATCGTCTCGTACAGACACAAACAGATGTTTAAAGACGTGCACACAGGCCAATAGAAGCAGGAAAACCCATCATCTTGGTCAGGTCAGAGGATGAGGCTAGGTAACCTGAATTTCTGTGACACGGCTATCTCCGGGGCTTAAAGATTCTAATGGAAGAGAGTGGCTACCGCTTGTGACGTCCTCAGCAAGCTGCGCCCTCATGGGTCCTGAACCTAGGCCAAGGATTTGACTCCTTGGTACTCTGTAGAACCCCAGATTCCTGGCTCACTGGGAAAGGGAAAGATAGTGTTTCCTCAGAACCCACATCTCTAGGCTCAGAGGATGGTTTGGGCTGTTATACCGCTCTGGCTGTGCCAAGGACTGGGCGGCTTGCAGAGTGGAGAGCTTCTGTGTGTCAGGACTCTTGTTTGGTTCAGGTCTCCTGTATAAAAGAGACCTGGAACCTCCAGGTCTGTCCAAGAGACAATCACTCCAGCTCAGTCTTAGTTGGTAGCCTCATTTTAGGGTCCTTTTGACAAAGTAGGAGTGTCAAGCCCTTTATTCTCTAGGAAGAATTTGATTCCTGTATGTAGAAGGAGCTAATTCCTGGCGACGGTGGGAAAGGGCCCAGCAGGTGGAGCTGCTGCCCCTTTGCTGGGTTTAGGTTTCAGCACGCTGGTGTCCACCCACTTAACACACTTTGCTTCTGTCAAAGCTGCATGTTCCCTGGAGGTGCTTAGTGTGGATTTATTTATGAGTTTGATTCCATGGGGAAGAGCCCTCATTAATAAAGGAGATTCTTTTCCCCCTGAGCTTAAGATTCATGTGGCCCCAAGATGAATGGGGAAGAGACTCTTCCCATTTCTAGTAAGAACTGTGTAGGGAGCACTGAGATCTTTCCTAAGGCTCTGTCACAGAGCTTCAGCCTTCCCACAGGGTGGTTTCACCAGGATTTGTGAGGGGTCTCCATGCATTTTTGAGGGTTGCTCTGTGGCTTGCTGTCTCCTGGTACTGCTGGCTGTGGAGCGCTGAACAATTAGAGCTGCATGTCTTCCAGCAGGGAAGGCGGCCAACAGACACAGCTCGCTTTGCCTGCCTGTGGAGGCTGGTGAGCCCAGGACCTGTTGGGACTTGAAACAGTGAGGCAAGTAGCTGTGTAGTGCTGGGCTCTCTTCCTCCTCAAGCCCCTGGCCAGCCAGTTTCCGGAGCCTCCTGCAAAGGGCGTTGGGGAAGGGTGGGTCAAACCTTGGGTGGGAGTCCTGGCCCGAAGCCTTGAGTGAGTGGAAGAATTGGGGGTGGACCTGAAATCCCATCTCAGGGCTGAGTTGGCAGGTTTCTTGGGCTTGTGCCTGCTGCCTGCTGGGGTCAGAGGGTGCGCTGTCTCTAGCCAGCCAGGTCATGGGCCCTCCCTGCTGGCAGGTCTTCTACTGGCCCTATCCATGCAGGGAAGGTTGAAAGAATAGCTGCAAAACAAGACAAGGCAGAGCTTTTGTTCCTAGGCCCGCGGCTGGGGACATACTCTTGGTAGAGCTCTTGCCTAGGCACACACACACACACACACACACACACACACACACACACACACACACACACACGGGTAAGGCCAGAGTTACATCCTTAGCCTGGCAATGAACAAAAAATATACTAAGTCCACCGCTGAGACTTAGGAGACTAGAAGAGGCTGCCCTGTTCATGCTTCTACTTGCTTTTCCCTAATGCCCTGGTCAGAGGAAAAACATCTCTCCAGTTTTTTCAGGTTTCATATAAGGAATCTACCTGCTCATGCTTCCTGGCTCCATTATGACATTTGGGAAGTCCTGTCCCATGTCTCAGCTCCCCATCCATTTTGTCTGCTTCAGTTGATGGCCCCAGTGTTGGCAGTCACCACTTCCTCTTATGTGAGAGCGTAGCTTGGTGCTGGGCAGTTGCATGGTCTGGAGCCCTCTGCCCCTCTGGGGTGCTAGTACAGGCTGGTCCCCAAGAGAGCCAAGGCCCCAGCTACTTTCTAGGCAGGGGATTGCAGTGTTCGGGGCTAAGATGAAGGTGGGAAGGAAGTCCTTTCCTCTGTCACCTGATGGCCACACTCAGATCATAAGTGTTAATGAAACCATAGTGCCCCGAGGCAGCTGGGCAGCCCCCCCTTGCCCTGAATCAGCCTGACTCATTTACAGCTTTCTCCCAGTTACCCCAAAGGCTTCTCTGAGGTGATGAATGTGGGGGGTTGGTTTCAGGTTTCATGTTTTCACATTACTGGGTGGAAAAAAAAAACCTTTCTAAACCAAAAAACCAGCTTCTGCAGCAGAAACAACTTGTCCTGAGAGTGCTGGAAATTTCCCCATCTTCTCTCCTTATCTGCTCAGAGACACCGAGACCAGAGACCAGGGGGTTAAGAGGAGGAGGCTGGAGCCAGGCTGAGCATGTTAGGGACGGCCCCTTCTGAGGTGGCAGCATCTGCCTTCCTGCTTCAAGGGAGGGGAGGACCTTTGCCGGGCCCTCCAGCTGTGGAGCCTGTGGTCTTCAGTGCCCAGTGGTGGATTGCCAGGGTGTGGACAGTCAGCTCAGGATGGGGAGGGGCCAGGGAAAGGAGGGACCATCTCCCTTCCCTAAATAATTTGATCCCAGGAGGACTGGGACAAATGTCCTTCCTCAAGGGGGCTCTTTAGGTGGAGAAATACAGGGTCCATCTGGCATATGGAGGCAGGGAGGTGGCACCTCCTCCTGTTCCTGGCTGGTTGCATTCTAAACCACCCCCCGCCAGGGGCAGATGGCCTCCATGGCAGATGGAGACTAGGCCAGCAGTGGCTGGTTGGGCTTTCCAGTTTCAGCCTGGCCTCTCTGGCTAATAAGACAACTGGAGAAGTGGTGACAGGGCTAACTGTGTGTGTGTGTGTGTGTGTGTGTGTGTGTGTGTTTAGGACAGGAAATCCTAGACTTGTTGGGCCATTCTAGGGGACAAGTAAACAGGAGGCCCCAGATGGAACCGGTGGATCTTGGGAGCGCACTCAAGCTTGCTGTGTAGGGGTGGCAGGTGCTCTGGGCTGGACAACTGTCCACTTTCCCAGGCTCTTGCGCTGCTCAGTTCTCCAGTGAAGCGGATGGACCTTGGGGTGGAAAACTGTGCTGCAGCTGGAGCCTGGCCTGCTAGAAGCAGACCCCCTGCCAGGTCCCCAGAGCACAGGGTCTGGGCAGCAGCTCCTCCCAGAGGATGTGCCCGTTTATTATGCGCTCCTGCTCCCTCACTGCTCAGGCAGGCAGCGGCCTTCATTAGCGGAGGAGCTGGGGTCTGTTTTGGCTGCCTCATCAGCATCAGTGAACTGCGTCCCTGCGAGATTTGATACAATTTAATTAACCTAATTAAAAGCTCTGATTGCAGAGATGATTGGGGTAGCGCCAGCAGCGACTGCATATTTATAATGAGCTGCAAGGT